AGACTTGCCTTGCTTCCTTCCAATTAATCTCCAGGATCTTTGCTCTGACTTGCTATTCAGTGCTGTCTCCTTAGTCCTTTAATCTTATAGTTCAGGGATCAGCAACCCCTGGCACACATGCCAGAGCATGGCATATGAGGCCATTTTCCTTGGCACATCACAACTGGCCCGGGTTCTGGGCAGCCACCCCTGGCTATGGAGTCCAGACTGCTCGCAGCAGGCAGCCAGAAGGCTGCAAGCCCTGCTGCAAGCAGCCTGATTTCTGTGGCAGGCAGCAGCTGCCAAAAGCCTGGTCTGGCTGCAGCTGGGAGGCTGCAAACAGCTGTGCCAGGCTCGACAGCTCCATGGCTGTGACAGCTGTATATGCACCTCCAGGCACATGGCCAAGAAATGGCCTGGTGCAGCGCAGCCCTGGCCCTTCCTCTGTTGTCTACCAGGAGGCATGCGTGAATCTTCCACTGCCATGGAGCCAGTGCCAGGTCTGTGGAGCATAGTGCAGCTGTTTGCAGCCTGCCCACCACCTGCTGCAGCTGCCTGGAGCCCAGGCCAGCTGTGACAAGCAGCCAGGAGGCTGCAAACAACTGCTTGGGGCTCTGCAGCCCTTAAACTGGCTCTGTGGCAGTGGCAGTTGCACTTATGCCTTGGGACAGATTGCAGGGGAGGGACCAGGGTTGCACTGCCCCAGGCCTCTTCCCAGCCATGTGCTCAGAGGCACGCATGCAGCTGCTGCTGCCACGGAGCTGGTGCTGGGGCTGTGGACCCTGGCCCACCTGTTTTGCACCCTCCTAACTGCAGCCAATGTGGGCTTTGGGCAGCTGTAGCAGGCGATGGGCAGGCTGCAACAGCTGTGCTATTCACAAGCTCCGTGGCAGTGGTAGCTGCTCACATGCCTCATGGTGCACACCAGGGAAGGGGCTGGGACAGCGCAACCCCAGCCCCTCCCCTGATGTCCTCTTGGAGGCACACATACAGCCACCACCAGCAAAGAGGATCGGGGCCCCTCGCAGTTCCCCTGCCTCTGGCACACCAAGTCTAGGCATGGGTGGAGCTTGACGTGTTTGACACTGTGGCCAAAAATGTTGCCGACCCCTGTTCATACTTCCTATAGTAAATTTCTCTGTAGTCCACAGAAAGTTTTTTCCTTTAGCAGTATTTGATTCAATACAAGGCTAAAAGCAGTGGTTTGCTAGACTCAGTTTTCCTCTTGTCTTCACTTTTTATATATTCTTCTGTACCATGGCATTTTGTTCATTTACCATGGCATTTTGTTAATCTAATCTTGCCATTTTGGAGTTGCAATGTCCATATTTTATGATGTTGGGAAAGAGAATCATGTGATTTTTTTTTTTTTTTCTTTATGTTCTTCCACTGAATAAATAAGTTGCATGTTATATAACACAGTTGTCTTTATTTGTTACAGGTGCTTGAATTGGTGCTGGAAAATTTTGTTTATCCATGGTACAGGTATGAGCTTTCCATAGAAATAACTTTTTCTCTAAAATGAAGACTACTTATTCAAAGCAATTACCTACAAAAACTTTCTGTTTTTTTGTGTTCTGGTGTATGTAACACTGCTGCAGATGTTACGAAATGTATAACAGGGCTCTGACTATAAATAGCAGTGTTAAAATTGCTTCACAACATAATTGAATTATTGATCAATTATAGTTAAGATTAGCAAAGCTGTAAAACTATAAAGCATATTTTTCATTTTCTCCATAAAACAGTTTAATCAATTTATGACTTCAATATTGTGCTTGTGAAGTAGAATGGGTTATTCCCTCCTTGTTAAAAATTACGGAGGTCTTGTGAATTTTTTATTTTGAAAAATTAAAGACATTTAAACTGAAAAATACATGTTAAATTGAATAAGTCTTTCCTGAAAGTCACATTTTGCTAACATTTTTACTAATGGTTCAAAAACTCATAGATTCATAGATTGTAGAGTTGGAAGGGACCACAATGGATCATTGTGTCCGACCCCCTGCCCCTGGCAGGAAAGAGGACCGAGGTCAGATGACCCCAGCCAGGTGACTATCTAGCCTCCTCTTGAAGACCTCCAAGTTAGGTGATAGCACCACCTCTCTTGGAAGCCCATTCCAGATCCTGGCCACCCTTACTGTGAAAAATTTCTTCCTAATATCTAACTTAAATCCACTCTCAACTAGTTTACACCCATTATTCCTAGTCACTCCCTGGGGCGCCTTAGTAAACGGTGCTTCCCCTATTTCCCGTTGACCTCCCCTAATAAATTTATAGGCGGCCACAAGATCTCCCCTCAGCCGTCACATGTGAAGGAAGAGAGTCAGCTCTCTCAACCTCCCCCCGTAGGGTCTATCATGAAGGCCACTAATCATGCGAGTGGCCCTCCTCTAGACCCTCTCGAGATTCCCCGTGTCCCTCTTGAAGTGCGGCGCCCAAAACTGGACACAGTACTCCAACTGCGGCCTGACCAGTGCCGCATAGAACAAAGGAGGTGATGCTCCCCCTCTAAGTCATGCACCTGCTAATGCACGACAAGGTGCAATTGGCCTTGTTGTTGGTCTCATTACACTGCCGGCTCATGTTCATCTTGGAGTCAGTTATGACTCCAAGATCCCTCTCTGCCTCCGAGCTGCTGAGAAGGACACTCCCCAACCTATAGGTGTGCTGGGG